AAAAAGCACATAGCTTACCTTACTGAGGCCAGTACGGGATCACGAAGATAACAACAGAGTTCAATTTTATCTCTCAGCTAAAGGTCTCGATTACCACTAGCATCGAGACAAACACCATTCGACTTCACACATTACCTCAAAATTGCACTTACCTCGATTGTAGAATAGTTACCTCATTTCGGCATGTTCGATACATCTACGTTTTCCGGTCTCCCTGATTATTGGCGCGTGGGAAGATTTTGAAATGCTCGCGTCTCTCAACCCGCTTTGCGGATCAAAACAACCAATAAAAAAGGGGTATTTTCTGGCAGATCTACACACCAATGCAAACTCCCTGCATTTGCATATTGCAATTTCCCTAATATAGATATTAGCAACTGACTCTCTCAAGCCAGGCAAAATTGCTAGCTATGTGGGTAAAAATATTTGGAGCAATACCATGAAAGGATTCTCACTCTGCTGAGAGTGTATCCACAGAGCTTCGAGATGCCTACATATCCTTGAAAAGGAAAATTATTTTGCTAGGATAGCGAATCTGGGAAAGAAATAATTTTCATCTCTCTATGTCATTTTGTCTATCTCTCTCTCTCTGAAAGCCTTGTGTGTGTTTTGGGAGAGGGATCAGGAGGATGCATGTAAGGCACCAGGTTACACATATGTGAAACACCCGTTTAATAATTGCGGCGCAGTGCCGCACCACGCGATACTAATCGTACCAAACACAAAATACTTCCATAACATATGCATACAGTACATACATAAACAACCACTGCGCACTCTCGTATGCACACGTAACCAGAGCAACACATATAATATAGGTAATAGTGTATTTGTTATACCATATTAATATACGTCGGTGTGTTACGTGGTTGCTTGTATATTTCCATCATTATATATATAGTGTATAAGCTCTCTCATATATATTTATATACTTATATTAATACTTTTACAGCTGGTGTAGTGTCTAGTGATATAATTTCATATGTTACCCATAACCTGATACTCTCTATGACGAATATCATAAAATGGCACACACACACGCACACACACTTATACTATGTTCTTCGCACCACCACATCACACTACACACAGTGTATACATTTTGTTATTGCGTGTCATGCGTAATATTTCTCCGATAAGGCCGCACACCAAACAACTCCACATATAATATGTATGTATGCTCCGACCACGAACTCAACACTCGCACTACACAACACACACACACGAGCGCGCGACTACACACACACAACACACAAGGCCACACGCGCACCACGCACACCGGCACACGCACACCGAACAACCACCACACACCTCACATCACACACACTACTCCTTCTTACCCACACACACACACAACACACACGACACACAATTTTATTTGCAGATAATGGTAAAATCTTCATGCGCTAGAGATGTATTGACCAGGTCTTGCCGGCCACTTTTCCCAATTCACATTCAAACCTTTTTAATATTTGTTGGAATCAGCATGTTTATACGTGTGTATGTGTGGTGTGTGATGATGAAGATAGGTAGATAGGTAAGTTTCAAAGAAATGATGTGCAGTGATAACACGATTCTTGCAGTGATGATTTTTCAAAAAACTGTAACGAGAAAGGAAAAGTATATATATCCAGAACATATGCTGTTAATGAGATTTTCCAGAAAAGCCATTTAGCAACTTCAATGAAAAAAAATGAACATACAACTGAAAATTTCAGAACAAAATGCGTGCATGAAGCTTATTTTGCAGAACGCTGGAGGTCAGTCATATATACAGACAGACAGCAATAAATGTTTAGAACTTTTGCAAGCCAAGTTTTGAACAAAGATGCCTGCATTCTCGTCTCTCAAATAACAGTTTGCTGGACTTTTAATAACTAATATTAGACTAAGCACTTTTTGCAATACGATAATATTGCTTTTTACAATCATGTGTTTTCGGTATGCATAGTTGCATTTGTCGGAAAGTTCCAAATAGGCTCAATTTTACATAGCCATTTGTGTATGTTTTCCTGGTATATTGGCCACTTCAGTGTATACTTTCTTGGTATACTGGGCATTTTGAGTATGCATTTTTACACTAGTAACTTCAAGAAGTGGCTTTCTTTCTGTAAGTTTCTGTGGTTGCGCTTTTGCAAAGAAGCGAGGAAAAACGTCAAAATAATTTTCAAACGTGATGGGTGTGTTAATCAAACTTACCAATACCAAGTCTCTCCCCTCTTTAATTTTCATTGCAGAGCAAGATAGACAAGTCAGACAAGAGAGGAATAAGTATATAATAAATAGCTATATATATATTATATATATATATATAATATATATATATATATATATATTATATATATATATAATATACATATCAAACAGGAAAGGAAAGATAGATACGCACAAACATATGTACATGTACATACATACTGGCACTTGAATTACAGTATTACGTGATTACAAGACCAATTGTTCACCGGATTTTTTTTTTTTTTTTTTTTTTTTTTTTTTTTTTTTTTTTTTTTTTTTTTTTTTTTTTTTTTTTTTGACGTGTAGGACCCAATGTGTCCTGCTGGACAGTGCATCTTCTGACTCTGTCCCTGGCTCTTCTCGAGGCACCGTTCTTGCCTTTTTTTTTCCTTTTTCGTAGTAACGACCTCCCACTTTTTCACCTAACTCTTGCGCTAGACAATTTGCTGACAGCCTTATATTTCGACTAATTAACGCTGAGGACGACAGCAGACTTCTCCAACACGACTTAGACGCCCTTGAACAGTGGGAAAGGTATCATGGCAATGACCTTCAGACCTGATAAGTGCATTGTACTCTGTTTCACCAGATCAAATACACCGATACAATGCACCTACTCTCTACATAACCAACAGTTGACACCCACAACATTCTACAAATATGAGTTTTCTATTTCGACCAATTAATGCTGAAGGCGACCGTGGACTCCTCCAGCACGACATAGACATCCTTAAACAGTGGGAAAGGTCATAGCAAATGACCTTCAGACCAGATAAATGCAAGGTACTCCATTTCACTAGCAATCTCACTTTTAACACTCACATTGATTTTATCACGAACTAGGCAAACAGAACACTTGATGATGGAGAAACCACACACTGTACACCAGACATCAAACACAGCTTACAACACACTTGTACGGCCAACACGCGAGTACTGTACGGCTGTACACCAAGCACGACATTGAGAAGCTCATACAGGTTAACACTAGGACTGTCAGATTTATCACACACAATAACACCTAGTATAACAACACGTATAAAGAACAGACATACGAAGACAAGCACACAGACTTCCAATCATGTACAAGATCACAAACAGCCTTGAAGACATTAACAAACAGGAGTACCTACTACCAGCGCATCACGTACCACATGAAACATACATACCACACCAGTACCGACTCTTACAATCACTCTTTCTTCTCATTTACCATACAGGATTAGAGCAGGCTACTCCAACACATCATTGAAACAAGAACACTCAAAACCTCCACTGACAAGCTAAACAAACACATGGCATTGCAAGGACCTTCACAAACTCAAGCACTTACACCTTAACTGACCCCCTGTAACCAATTATATATGCGTGATATGGGCTAACCAGCACCCTACGCATTAACTTTGAAAATGAGACTGAGACATATGCATACATACATACATACATACATACATAATACATAATACATAGGTGCATATATGCATACATATAAATACATACATGAAAAAACATACGTACATACTGTGCATACATACATATACACAGATATATAGATAGATGACAGATAAATAAACACGTATACACATGCTATTGTTGTATTAACGCACCTGTTTAAAACAAAGATATATATTTGTATGTAAACGGTATCCGGCATTCTGTTTGTGTGTGTATGGTGTGTGCGTGCGTGCGTGCGTGCCTTTGTCTGTATGTGTGTGTTTGTGTGTGTGCGCGCGCGTGCGTGCGTGCCTTCGTATGTGTGTGTGTGTGCGTATACATATACATACACATATGAATACACACACACACACACAAATATGTATATATTATATATATATATATATGTATGTATGTATGGTATATATCTATATATATATATGTATGTATATATACATACATAACAATACATACATACTTACACACACACACACACACACACACACACACACACACACACACACACACACACACACACACACACACACACACACACACACACACACACACACACACACACACACACACCACACACACAGTACACACACACACACACATTATATAGTATATATATATATATATATATATATATATATATATTGTGTGTATTGATATATATATGTATATATATATATATATTTATATATATATATATATATAATATATATATATATATATATATGATACATATATACATACCATTACATACATATTATACATATATATTATATATATATATATATATATATATGATATATATGTATATATATATATATATATATATATATATATATATATATATTATATATATATATATATATATATTATATATGTATATAATATTATATACATATATTATATAATATATATATATATATTATATATATATATATAATATATATATATATATATATTATATATATATGTATGTATGTATGTATGTATATATATGTGTTATGTCTCTATTTATCTATTTATTTATGTAACGTGTGTGTGTGAAACTATTTTTTTCGCCTTTAAGCTCTGGTCATTGATTTCGAAATTTTTTCCCTCAAATTAATCTATCTAGCGGCAATCGTCGTTATCTCCATTTTGAGCACTTTTTTGCTAAAATTAGCAAATCCCCGAGAGAGATTTTGATTTCGGGACATATTCTATAATCACTAGAATTAATTTTATATAAAATTTCACACAAAGAAACTTATGTCATATGAATTAGAATAAAACATTATGGGAAAAAATCGTAACTTTGTGCTTCATTGATGGCAACA